CTTGTGTTGTAATTTTTTTAATTAGTTAATTAATTTATTGTTGTAATAATTAGTTAAGTAGTTTAGCTAATTTAATTTGTTTTGTAATAATTAGCTTAGCTTTAATTAGTTAGTTAGTTTATTCATTCAGACTCTTCTTTGTGAGAGCGTAATGTTGTAATAATGTGTATGTCTTCCAACCCCACGTCTTTCTCCCTTTTATTTACTAGCTTACGATGGTTAGTTTATGAACATCATGTTTTGTTCAGCATACTTAATGCTTGCATCCACTTGTGTTACATGTACCGAGGCTCGGTGCAACATTCTAACATGCATTGTTAGTTTAACATTCTTTGAATACGTGCTTAGACCGCATGCTATTTAATTGATTCATATGCCATACTAGTAGTCGAGTCTAGTAATTGCATATCGTATGTGTTGCATTAGTCATATTGCCTAGTTAGGATCATGTATTTTTCTAACTCTTTTGTTTATTTTGGCTTGGAGTACTAGGTAAGCTTTTACTCGTATTAGCATATCGCATGTTGTTGTTGCCATGTTTAGCATGCTTACCATGAGACTAATTGCTTAAGTGCTATAATTTCGTGAATGCCTGTGGATGAAGGCTAATTACTTAAATTGGAATAATTTGAGTAATGTTTATATGTGATCACTTTTTCAAGTGGTGCATATTCGAAACAATTTTCAAAACAAACATGAATCGAAGTGTTTCAATTCTTTCAAGTTATACTTGTGTGTGTGCACATCACATAGTAATGCTAGCCTAATAATCGGAACAAGAGCATATAATCTAAATAAGATTCATATCATGATTAGTAGAGGCCAATCTTTGATCGGGAGAGTGGGGGTGTTCAATTCATGACCTTCCCCTCTCGAACCTAAGTTCCCGAGCTGAGACAATCTTGGTGATGACAGACACATGGCCTTTGGCATGAGTCATGGGTTTCTTAAATTTTCCCAAAACAAATTTGGCGACTTTGTATCTGGGAAAGCAGTCCATTTTTGGCAATTTGATTTAAAATTGATTTTTCAAAAGATTTGATGGATTAAGACTCTTTGGTGTTTATCTATTTCACATTGCACTTGTGGAATTAGATTCAGAACTGTGAGAGTCTGATATGTAAGGCTTTTTTGTCTTCTAAAAGGGGGCACGAAAAAGTCGAGCTACTGTTTCTGGCAACTCTGCTGGAGATTTAGAGAACTTGACTTGAAATTCATGATGTGAAATTTTATCTACACTTATATGATTCTTTGTATTGCATTTGCATTGGTGTGTTTAAGTCACGGTGTTTGCCATCTACTATTCCTAGACGGTTTGCCAGAGGCTTGCATAAAAGCTTGCCAAAAGGTTGACCAATCACGGGCTCTGCCATGATGGGAACACAACCCTTGGATCTGGACTACCGCTGTACCGCTTGATCCTCCTTTCACTTCTTGGTGTTAGGTGTGAGAGGTATATTAGGTAGTCTTGTTGAGGTATCCTTCTGACCATTCGGCCTAGTTGTATATCGAAAAGCCATAGAGACCATTCCAAACTAGGACATGATGCTCACCCGAATACAAGATTACGTGGAACCGCTTTGTTTGAATAGTGAACCCTAGTTCCTAACGAAACTAGGATAGGGTAACCCTACCCCCTTATAGGGGTGTTTTGGCTCTCACTTAACTGGTATGTGCTTTACAATGAAACTGTACAAGAAAGTGCGTATCAGTTGCAAGTTTGGTATCCGTTGTGGGGGTATAATTCAGTGTTAAGTGCAGTCCTACAACTTTGATTACATATGTGTTGGTAACATCATTAGCTGAGGTGCTGTACAATTTCTGATTATTGCTTTCTTTTTTCTTTATTTCTTTTTGCTAGGTAGTATAACACCATAGCTTCGAAAAGTTCGGATATCCCCCAAGTGCTCTGGACCCGAGTTAAAAGGCTTTGCAAAGCTGAAGATCTTGTTAGGGGACAACCCGTGTTTACTTCGCTCCCATCGGTTACTAAATAGAGAAGAGTCAGGCAGAGTTCACCAGTCCAGTTTTTACAGTAGTCACCCCTCAATTCACTTGCATCCAGTCAGGCTCAGGGACAATCTTCTATATCTAGTCCAATACGAGATCACTCGTCTATCCTGATAACACAGTATCCCCCAGTCAGTATGGAGGAGTTAATCCATCATCTTTAGCAAATAGTTGAAACCCAACAGCAAGACGCTGCTTGTCAGGCCGAGGTCACTACCTGTCAGGTTGAGGTAATAAACAGGCTAATCAAAGTCGGTAGCAGCTTTTGCATCCCATGCACCTCCTACGGGTATCCCAGCACCCGGAGCCATTGCCCATACTGTTAATTTCCAAGAGAATCAAGGCAATCTAGCAGGGCCGATCCTACCACAAGCCTCCAAAACACCTGTGTATCAAACCGAGGCTCCGTTTAAATTTGAGGTTGACCCAACTGTGGTTAAGGTTAACAAGCTAGAGAAGTTATTCAAAGGGCACAAGGTGTTAATCCCAGATTCAGGTAATGTATCTAAAATCTGGAAGGATATAGTGGGATTAGCACATAGCAACCCTGATTTGTCTAATTTTTATAGGGAGAATGTGGAAATTACAATTGGCAATGGTAGGAGAATAATGTTTTGGGTTGATGTATGGAAGGGGGAAGCTAGCCTTGGCTCTCAGTTCCCTAGATTGTACTAGTTGAGTGAAGAAAAAGAGATCCCATTGAGTATGATGCTATCAAGGAAAACCTTGTCTAATGAATGGTGCTTTAGTTTTCGACGATCTCTACATGCTTGGGAATAGGATGAAATTTCAAGGCTTATTGCTCTGCTGGGTGCTGGTCCATGTCTGTATCTGGAACAAGGTGATTCCATTAGATGGAAGGCAGATCCAACTGGGGTGTTCAAGGTGAATATTTCTTATAAATGGTGTGAATTAGTGAATGGTATAGCATTAATCTCCACAGTGCTAATTTGGAATAATTTTGCTCCACCTAAATCCAAGTTTATCATCTCGCTAGCATGGAAAGGCAAATTAAAGACAGCTGAGTTTCTGAGTAGAATTGGAGTGTTGAGGCGCGACGTTGCCTTATCTTGTGTTTTTTGTAAAGAGACAGTGGAGTCTTTGAATCACATCCTTCTTTTATGTCATTTTGTATGGAAAATTTGGTCAAATACACCGCAGTGGTGGGGGCTTCCATGGGTAATTCCAGGGTCATTGGAAAGGTTGCTACAATGGTGGATGAGTTAGAAATTTAGAAAAAAGGAAAGTTAAGTTTGGAGAGTTATCCCAGCAGCTGTGATATGGTCAATTTGGAAATGTAGGAATGATTGCTTATTTTCTAGTATACAACCTAATCTGGTGGAATTATGTGATCTTATTAAAGTTCGGGTAGATATCTGGTGGAAATCTTTTGATCCAGGCTGCTCATTGTCTATTATAGATATTGCTTTCAATATGCAGCAGGTGAGAAGTTGCCTCTAAGATCAAAAGGAGTACCTGGGAAGAGTTTTTTTTTTTTTTTTTGATTGTTGGTGTAGGCTATGAGGGCAGAAAATCCAGTTAAGACTACTGCTTCTGCGATTGTTGTTTTTTTTTTTTTTTGATGTTGTTTGCGACTGTTGAGTTTACCAACTATTGTTGATGCTTTTGATTCTATAACTATTGGTTTTGGTTTGGCTGTTTAGCTTTTTTGGTTGGGGTTGGGTTTGGTGTTTATGGTTGGTTACTCACCAACTTTGGGCAGTCTTATCGGTGCCAACCTAGTTAGGACTTATTTGTTTTCATTATGATATTTTTTGCACTCTCCTTCCCCTTCCCCTTCTTCTTTATTGATGTAATCTATCTTTGTTCATCAATAAAGTTTCCCTCTTCTTCGCTGATCCAAAAAAAAAAATAAAAAATAAAAAATCTTTGCAATAAATTATAAAATTCCTTACAATGGTTTGACTACCCAATTAATTAGAAATCATCTTTAAACAATCCTTAAACACCCCCTAAACTAGAGAGATTATTACAGAGAGTCCTATTCTAACAATCTCATATTTTTCTTTTGGCCCTAACGTTTTAGTTGTTGGTCCGCCGTACAAGTACCGATTATTTTAACATTTCTAACCATGTAGATGATGATGATTATTATTATTATTATTATTATTATTATTATTATTATTATTATTACTTTCATGTTGCTTATATTATCCTAATGTGCATAATTAAAATATGTTTCAGGTGCTTACATGGTGGTAAAAATCATCATTGAAATGGTACGTATGAAGCTTAAAGGATCAGATGAAGGAGTGGGTAGTTTGATCAAAGATCTTGAAGAACCATTGGAATCTATAGAGCTAAGGATGAATGTCCTCTCTGAGCCTAGGCATGAAAAGGCAAAAACTATTGAAGCTATTGAAGTATTTAGAAACTACGTTGAGGTATGCATCAATAACAAAATCCAAGTTTTGATAATAATGTTTATACGGCTGTCCTGTAAATGTAAGATATAAAACAATCAATAAAAATAAACCACGTCAGCTAATTTGTGAGCCCTGCCAAAATTTTATTTTTCACAAATATACTGTGATCACCTCTCCCTTCACTCTCACCTCCATCTTTCCTCTCCCTTGTAACTACCACCACTGAACACCAGAAAAAAAATTCAATTTCACACAATTATCAATTCTAGTGCTTCAAATCAGATTCTATTGCTGAGAATTTTTAGTTACTAGTGATTGTTGCTTGGGAGACTCTTGAAAATATAATATAAATAATAAAGTTGTTCTTCTCTCTAATAGTTTAATTTTGTAAATGAGTTAGTGGTCAATAATATGATATCAGAACAGACAATAAATCTTATGAACAACTTAATTCCTCTTAAAGTACAGAGGTCAATCATGCTCTATTACAAGAATTGGTAGATTCAAAGCAAAGTTCAATCAAATTGGTGAATTCACTTGGCCAAATCAGAAAATTCAAAATGAATTAAAGTTTAATTAGTAGTAATAAGCTTCTAAGAAACTATTTATTCCCTTGAATGTAGGACGAAAGGATACCAGGGCGGGAGTTGGACTCCTGTGGAGATTGTTGGGTCACTGAAGGTTGTCTTGTAGACTCAAATGATGAGCCGACTGCCATTGATGCTCACATGTACAGGTATCTATGTTATATAACTACATATGTTACAACTTCAAGGGTTGGCCTGGTAGTTAAGGCTTGAGGTTTAGGAGTGTGTTTCTTCCAAGGTTTCAAGTTCAAATTTTTTTAGGTGTAAACAATTCTTAAGGCCAGTCATATGGGACTTTTGCCTTTGCTTAAATTGGAATCCCCTTTATTCTAAGGTTCTAAGCTCACTCTTCTTAATATGTATATTGCTAAATTTTGTCCTGACTTTGGACCCAAGTGGGTGGTGGGATTATTCTCCCGAATTAGTTGGTCCAATGGACCGGGTACTGAGTTATAAATAAATATATATATATACATTGCTAAATCCTAAATAAAGTTGGCTATTGTGGCACTTATAGGGCTAAAGTTTCAGACGAAGAACATGGGCAATATGGTTGGGTTCACATTCGACAGAGTATTCACAACCCAAATGTCGCTGTAAATATGCAGTCTACGATTCCTGGTGGCTGCAAAAGCATGACAACAACTCTTAGAGACAGGTATTATATGTCACATTCTCCATCTCACAACATTTTGAAACAGCCCACTATGTGTATAACGTTCATACACAAAATTAGATCGATCAGATAATTATAGTTTTTTAATTTACCGAATTTGTTACCAAAAAAATATGAATGATCTATTTTCAAAAACACTTTTTGTTAATTTTTTTAAAGACACATATGATAAATTGAATAAGTTATAAGTATTTGATTGATTTAATTTTTTGGATAAAGGATATATAAAAAGGATCTTATAAAATAAATAATTCGGATCATAGAAACAAACATAGGCCTCACATGGATCAACAAATGTGGTGTAAATTTATCAACACTGTACACTTAAATGAATTTGGATCAGATACTAATTTTTGAGTCTAAATAGCAATTATAAGTACCTAAAATTACTAAATTTAAAAGAAAAAAAAGGAGTAAAATCTAATTGGTGAAATATAGTAGTCCTCTCCATGGATTTATGGTTCTCATTGATAATTTAAAATTGTTGAATTTTCTCAGGTTTCTCATGGCAAGCGGAGTAAGCAGAATCCTTGACATTACTCAAATTGAAACATATGCCAAGAGATGATGCTTGCCACAAATATACAGTTCACCACAGAGGCATAATATAACAAAGTTTTATATGATATTATAGATCATTTTGTACATAACATCATATATTTGCTTTTTATAGACTACAGAATTCATAAGATGACGGAAGCTGAAAATATCATATTTTTTTAATTCATGTATTTTTTCAATTTCTATTCATCCAAAATTGCCAAAGACGATTTCGAGTGCTTACATTTTGAAAAACTATTGTTTCATTGTTTTGAGATTTTAAGACATTTTAAAATATTTTAGTACAAAATACACACAAAATTTATTTCTGCTCGTTAAGTAAAATATATATACAAAAAATTAAGATGATTGAATATCGGCACCTATATATCACATTCGTATTATAAAAAATGTATAACTACTCTTAAGATTATAATTGTTGTCTATCTTTTTGAAACAAATGTGATTAAAATTTATAATTATCGATATCCGATCATCTTAATTATTTGTAATTACCTTTTGTTATTTGAAAATGCACCAACAAAAGTATAAGGAACAATATAAAAAGTGTTAGAATATTAAATTTGTAATTTGACTAGATAAAATATTTATCAAATATAATATAAAAATCTATTGAAACATTGAATTTGTAATTCAACTGGGCAAAATGCAAATGAAATACAATATAAAAAGTCCTTTGAAGTGGTTTTATATTTTTTTCTTTCAACGAATAATTATTACCTATTTATCAAAAAATAAAAAATGCCTTAAATATGTACTGAATCTTTTTAATATATAGAAGGGCACTTCAATTTCTAAATAGAAGCAACAGTGAGCCTACATTATACGCCACTCAAAATTCACAAATAAGGGAAAGATATTATTAATCTACAATTGTTTTTCAAATTCTTGTTCCTAACGAAGCAAAAGAAGAAAAAGAAAATTAAAAAAAAGAAAAGAAAATGATGGGCGTAGCCCAGAAGCGCCCAACCCATGGCCCATGAAGGCCCAACCCACTTTTGTCCTAAGCCTCCTAGATAGTCGCATGGTTAAAGCCCAATAGCAATGAGAAGTCGATACCGGCCCAGGTCTAGTAACATTTAGACATCTGTCAGATAGGGAGTCAGCCATGTGACAGACAGAGATCCTGCAGAGTTATTGAACTCACACATTAGGCATTAAATGAGGTTGTCTGTCATAACATTAAATGCAGCAGAACCTCTCATGCCGAAGTATGCAAAACCACCGTGATTGATGACAACTAGGCTATAAACTTTCAGCTAATGAGGCAGTTCAGAATAGACAAGGAAATGATTAGTAAGGGCTATAAGGAAGTTTCTGAAGTACGTTTGGTAACGGGTAATATTCTCCCTCAACCCTCAACTTTCACTGCTCTATTTTTTTTGACCACTTCTTGTCTAACTGAATCATCGGAGAGTCCACGGGGAGAAACCACTCTAGTCTTGGTACCTCCCCACTAGATCTTTTGCAAGCGTACATCAAGAAAACGAAGACCAACAGACCCATGGAGCACGTGGATCAGTTCGACCAATCCCTAGCTGATACTTTGGCATTATTAGAAAATGTTATATCCAAGCCCTTATAGATAACTACTTTAAGCTGTAAGTGTAGACGTCCCCGAACGTCCCGGGAGGGAAATCCCGTTTTGTTCACTTGGGCTCACTACAGTTCGGACTCAAAAGTCATGGTCCTGTATCTAATCTCGCAGAGTGCAATGCAAGACCGATGAATCATCAAAGAGTCCAAATCTAGCAAATCGTTTTGGAAAACAGATTTTTAGAAAGAAGTGCCAAACATGGACTACTTTTCCAGATACAGAGTCGCCACCTAAATATTTTATTTTGGGAGAATTTAGGAAACCCTGACTCGTGCCAAAGGCCACGTGTCCGTCATCACCAAAGTTGTCTCGGCTCAGGAACTTGGGTACGATTGGGGAAGGTCACTTCGTGAGCACCCCCGCTCGCCCGATCAAAGATCGGCCTCTACTAACCATGATATCGAGTTTTGAAAACATTATGCATTCTTATTCCGGTTATTAGCCTAGATTTACTACGTGATGCGCACAACATACAAGTATAGACTGGATCGCCTGAATTGGAACAACACATCTCATGTTTGTTTATTTTGAAAATGGTTTGATGGTGGTACCCGCAAGTAGGCTAAGACCTGGATTTGCCACCCTCGGGTGGGCCTAGAAAACGTGATGGTTTGCCACTCTCAAGTGGGCTTAAAACTCACAGTCAATGCATTTTTCCAATTCAGATAATCCAACGTTCACCCACAGGCATTCAGGCATGTATATCACATAAGCACATAGCCTCATGGTAAGCATGCTATCATGGCAGTCACTCACACACATGCATGGATGCTAAAGCATAAACACTTACCGAGTACTCTAAGCAAAACATAAGCTATGTTAGAAATCCATGCATGATCCTAACTATGCTGAAATGCCTAATGCAACACATGCAGGAATGCAAACTATAGCAGGCTCGGCTATTCAAAACATGGTATATGAGATGCTACAACTAGCATGTATTCAATTTGGAATTGAAAATACAATGCAGTTAGTATGATGCGCTGAGCGCTGGCTGGCATGCAAAATAAATGAATGGATGCCAAACATACGAGCGTCAAGGATGCTAATTTAAAAACGTTGCCCTAAACTAACCATCCATAAGCTGGTAAATAAAAGGCGATGAAAGACTGGGGTGTAGAAGACATACATCAATAAGCACGCACATTATTACACTTGTGCCCTCCGCTCGGACGGGTCCGAAGAATAGTTAAGCAAACATAAACTAGCTAATCTAAGCTAATTAAACTAATTATTACACCAACATTAATTAATTAACGATTTAACTAAGTAAGTAAGGAAACTAGCATGCAAATTAAACAAAATGACTGTCCTCAGCTCTATTTCCGAATATGGGATCATCCGCATGTTCAAGTCGCCTTGTCGGGAAATCCATCGCGATGCCCCCGATTTGCCTCTGTTTGCACTGGTCCCAGAACACTGTTAACAAAGCTCCAGAAGCCTGCTGACCAGTTTTTGCTTGCTGTTTCCGGTTGTTGCCACAAAGAGCGAGAAAAGGGCATGGCAAAGTATATTCAACAATGTGTGGCAATGA